GACTCAAATCAATTATCCAGAACACCAAAACATTATCCATTATCATACATATATTTTTTATTTTGATTGCATAATAAGAGACAATTATCTCTTATCCCTTATCACATCCCGTATCCTACCTCACTCGTAAGTCATGCGATTCGAATTCAGGAACTCTTATTTGTAATAAAAAAAAATAACCATTTAATTATTTAAATCGTTGGCTATCCATCCCCATATTTTAATCTACATTGGCACGTAAATTCTTTAAAAAGTATATTCTAATTTTAGTAAGGATGGGTAAGACTACTGCCTCTTTGCCATCTCAAAGGACAATGCCTAATGGGAAAAGAGAGACTAAACCGAAATAAAAATTAATCCTGACACTATTAACTTCAATTGATGATTTACCGCTAAGATATTATGGGGTGTTTAGATTAATAATTCAAAAGTACCTTATAATTAATAATTATTAATAATTATTATATGAGAAAAGGAAAAATTATAATATTCTAACATTAAAAATGTCAAGACGTCTGATAATAGCACATGATGAATTTGATAAAATTAAAACTCACATTCTATCCCTTACGTTTAACAATTGCAATTGAATATCTTAACATTTTTAATATTAGCACATCCTAATTTTTTCTTTTTCCTTATTATATATAATTCTATTATTCTATTTGATTATATATAATAGCTTATAATTATTTTAGAAGCATTAAGGGTATATTTGGATAAAAATGAGTAAAGGGAAGGGAAGGGATGGGGAGGAGAAGAGGAGGGAATGAAATGATTAGTATTAAATTTATTTGGATAGTCAAAAGTGAAAGAAATGGGAAGATAATATTTTTATTTAATTAAGTAATTTAAAAAAAATAAAATATAATAAAATTTTTAAATTTGATTAATTCAATAAACAATTAAAATAAGATATTTATATTTATTTATTAAATTTTTAAAAAAAATTAATTGTATAGAGAAATCTACCATAATCCTTTCAAATTAAAAAAATTAAAGATATAAGAGTAAAGGAAATTTAATCTCATTCTATTACATATCTAATCTTTAGACCTAATAATTCATCCTCATATTATAGTGTTTGAATTTAATTAATTAAAATTTTAACTTTTATCAAATATTTAAAAAAATTTCTCAATCCCTTATAATTTTTCATGTTCAAAAACATATATATATATATATATATATATCTCATTCCATCACAACAACCACCTATTCATTACAACAACCACCTACTAGAACAAGTGCTTAACTTCTCACGGAAGAGTTCTTATCCCCCAAAATGCGCTTTTTTAAAAACAAATCTCAGTCTATCACTGTTCCTTTCCAATAAATGCATGGTGATGTTATTGAAATAAT